AGTTTTCCCTTTCCTTCCTTGGAATCTGGAGGCTTTGATAGACCAGCAGCTGTCTGGGACAGGAGAAGATGCTTTCTGGGCCCCTCCTTGCAGCACAACACGTTGGTTGGGAAGGAAAATCTTTTGTTAACAGGGATGGAACCTGGGTTTGGTCAGATGAGTTGATTGAGATAAGGGCTTTAAACCCAGCTCTTCTTCTTACTTCCCATCAAAGGTGAGTGCTAACTGTTTAAATTTTAGAGAGTTGACAAGAAGAGGGGCATTGGCTTTTATAGATATGATATGGCAGGGATGACACATGGAAAATAGGAATTGAGCACATACTATATTCGAAACCCCCAAATTTCTCTTCTATGCTGCTGTCCCTAGAGCTGCTTGTTGTTTCATATTTGTCTTTTATGGTGTCCTGCATTCTCCCCAGAGTCTCACAATAATCTCCCTAAGGAAGGGAATGTACTCATCATACACAGAAGATAATTAAGACTTAGTCATGTGACTTAAATCACAGTGTCACATGCAAGACCTGGAGCTAGAACTCCCATGAATATGGATTTGATTTTTTCACTTATAGGCCCTGAGTCAGGTTCTTGTTAAGGGAAGTAGAAATTTAATCCCCTTCCACCTGTTTGTTTATTTAATGTGCATAAATACTTTTGTGCCTATTTGAGTGGCAGGCAGATCCTGGATATAGTAAGCACTCACGGACCCAAACCATGCCCATAAACTGTGGAGGACAAACATGAATAGATAGAAATTTGAGACTGTGTGATGAGTACTGTGACAGAAGAAATCAAGTGCTAATGTAGCACACAGGAGGGCACCTACCTGGCTTTGAGAGGTTAGGGAACGCCAGTAAATGACACAGGGGTTAAGACCCAAGAGGGAAGGTATTCTAAGAAGAAAGAACAGCATATGCAAAGCCTGAAGGCAAAAGGAATTGAAGTACAGAATGCCTGGAGTGTAAGGAAAAGAGCTTGGAGAGGAAAAAAGTCCTAGCTTAACAGGTCACATTAGGTATTTTTAGCTTTAGCTCATGGGCAATGGGAGGTTGGTAAAGGGTTTAAAGACTAGAAATGTTGCTTGGTTGGATCTGGGTTTTAGACAGTCACTCAAGAGCATGCAGAAGATGATGGGTGGGAGGGCTGAATGCAAGGAGAACTTTTTGCTCAGCCCAGGAACTACTCCTTCAGCAAACACATCAGTAATCCCTGTAGACTTGGTTATATATTCATTCCCTTATGGAGATTATTGTGAAGGTCTGGTGAGAATAACAAACACTATAGAAGACGAAATTCATTCTCATTATTTTGCATCAAGATTGCCCGTTGCTGAATGCCAGCTGTGGGCTAGTGATTCTTTAATGCTTAAGAAGAGAATGAGGATCCACAGACAGAAGAGTTTTGTTCTGCCTCTTTAATTTGAGGAATCCAGGTGGAAAGGAGCCTTAAATTAGATGTCAGCATTGGGGTGGTTTACTCTGACAAATTCATTGGCAAATGTCAGTCTCGCTTGGTGCAAAACCTCATTTGGCTTCATTCTCTTTGCAGAAAAAAATAGAAATAAAACCTCCCTCATTGTGAGGATTCTATGAGGTGATGGGTAAAAAGTACCAGGCATGTGTTTATTCCCTTATTTTTTTCTGTCCTTCCTTAACACTGAGGCATTCAAAGTAAAAGCTAGAAATCTTACATGCTGTCTGACCCACTTCCTCTCTGACCTCTCTTCCTGTTCTCCTGGCACACTCTGCTATACCAGTGCTGGCCTCCTTGAGCTTTGTTGAATAGACAGACAACCTCAGGACCCTCACATCTGCAAGGCTTGTTTCCTCATCTCTCTCAGATTTTTGTTCAAATGTCACTTCCCCAATGAGACCTACCCTAGCCAATCTTTAAAACTCCAAGTCTTCCCACTCTCCCACATAATGATTCTCCTCCCTACCAGCCTTGATTTCCTCCATAGTTCTTATAACCTTCCAACATGTTACATAATTTAATTATTTAGGTTTTCAATTAAATTTTTCATTTTTTTAATATTTAGTTTGATCATGTACTCTTCCCAGTAACATGTGAGTTCCACAAAGGCAGAAAGTTCCTTCAGCATTATTCATGGCTGCATCTCTGGTGTGTACAATAATGCTGGGCTCTCAACTGGTTGTAGGAAGGAATGAAATGTTCACTGAGCCCTCAGCTGTCATCCAGAATAGCAGGAGTTGGGTGAACACTGGTACGGAAGAGTCTTCGCTGCCCCCTGAGCACTCTCCTGAAATCTGGCTGGATAGTGACCCCTGATTAGGAAGAGAAGGGTTCTAGCCCTTCATTCCTTAGGAAAATGAGAACATTGTCCTTTGCCTTGTGAACAGCTTACTTTAAGGGAGAACTTTTAACTCTTAGAGGCTTCTTCACTTCAGCTTGCAGTTGCCCTTGAAGGTGTGGAAACCAACATTTCCCCCTCCAGCAGCTCTTTCAGTCACCACTGCTGGGCTGCCTAAGTTGTTTTTCTCCTTTACTCTCTTCCTGTCCCCACTCCTTGAACTTAAAAATAATCTCTTATTGAAGCAGATGGCAGGGTAAGGCCACACTGGGCACACAGTTCCCAGAATGTAGGTAAATCTGTATGCTTGCCCCTCTTTGAGTTCTGAGGAAGTTACTGCACATGAAATGAAAGGAGGAATTGAGGTGGCCATGTCTGGGTGATTTGAATATTTGGATTAGTTTCATTCATTTATTTACTTAATTATTTATTCATATTTAGAGTTAATTAGAGAGATTGAAGGTAAAGCATTAGGGTTGTGGAAATACACAGAAGAGAAAGCTTTCTTTATCAATCAAGTTTCTGCTACAAATGTGTTGTATAACAACCCCCAACTCCAATGGCTTCCAACAACATATATTTCTTGCTTTCAAATCTGTAGGTCAGCTGGAATGGCCCTGCTATACGTGGTTCAGGCTCAGGTCTCTTACAGGGAGGGAATGAGGAGTTAGGAACAGTAACTTAATCTATCACAGCATTTAACTCTGACTATGGAAGTTAGGGAAGGCTCCCTGGAGTTGGTAACTTTGATCTTTCCTGAAGCATAGGTAATTTTCAAGACAAGGAAGCAATAACATACAGAAGTGTATTAAATTTTTAAAAGATTGAATTAATGTTTTAATATTGAATTAAGTAGTCACTGTAATATGCAAAAGATGTAGGAAAAGAAAACAAAGATCATCAGAGTACTGCTCTGTCCATTAAGTCCAAACTTCATGGGGTAGGTTAGAAAAAGCTATAACACAAATGAGGAAAGAAAAATTTATAATAAAGTGTAATCTTATTTAGCAGGATGGAACAAAAGTGTGAGCTCAGAGAGGAAGCTAGAATGTATTTTTAGTAGCTAGTTTTGGTATAGGATGCAAGCTATGGGATGTTTTAATTCATTATTTTATTTAATCCTTTTAAGGATTAACTATATAACTTGTAAGGATTGCCCAATGTTAGGTAAAATGAGCAACAAGGCCTCAGAGTGGTAGGTAATTTGCTTAATGGCTTATAGCTAGCAAGTAGTAGAGGAAATACTTCTCAGTCGTTATGGTTTGCAAGGAATTTATTCATAAACTTCACTCAGTAGTGTAGATACTCTGTTTTGTTCTTCAGTGAGGTTGCTTTCAAACTTGTCGTACACATGGTTTTGAGTGTCTCCTGTATGTGCAGCACTTCGCTTGTTAAAAGAACCTAGATCCTGGAGCAGATAATTTTCAGGTCCTGTCTGGCCTTGGCATTCTTTGTCTTACCTTTATCATTTCACATGCATTTAAGATGCCTCAATAAAGTAGGATTCCTACCTATGTTGCTACTCAAAAATGCTTGCAGTAAGGTTGGGGTTATAGCTCAGTGGTACAACTCTTGCCTAACATCTGAGGCACTGGGTTTGATTCTCAGCACTGCATATAATTAAATAAAATAAAGGTCCATCAACAACTTTAAAAAAATTGCTTGCTGTAGATGGTGGCATGTTTTGAAATTCTGTCTCTTTCCTCCTTTTTCCCAGTTTGTATATACATACCAGCAAGTATTCAGAAATGAAGGGAGGCAAGGTTGGTAGTTTCCTTCAGACCCAGCAAAGGTTAGAGGTACAACTTGGTGAATAATAACAATTCCACTATTCTGCAAACTACCTCTACCTAATACTAGTTCTCCTGTCAGTACAGAACTCATATGTACTCCATTAGAACGTTCCTACTTGTGAAGAGGTGAGCGTTTATGATTTTTATTTCTAGCTTCTTATCCATAATTACGTGACAATTGGAATCACATCTCCCTGTTCTTACCTTTAGCTTGACGTTTTAGCTGGGAGTTAGTGGAGAACTAGTTCCTTTTCTGTAACCATACCTTACTCAGGTGATTGTTAAACATTGACAGGCATTTTTGTGTGCTCTGCATCTTGGCAGTCTGGAGTTGGGTTGAAGCTTATTTTGTGACCCATTTACCACATGCTCAGGAAGCTGGCAGAACTGGTTTCTCTCATCTCAGAGACCATCTCATATAGTAGTTTGAAAATCTTGTAATTCTGAGCAGTGCTTATAAGAACTGCTTCTCACTTTCTCTCCGGTTGTTGTCTCATGATTTGCCAGGTTGGAGACTCCAATGTTGCTGCCACTCACCAAATTGACAACCAGGTGGAGAGAGAATAGACTGCATCTGAGTCAGACTGGTCCAGAGAGGACACATGCTAGGAATGCTCTGAAGGCCCTAGCAAGAAACACCACATCCTCCTGAAAGCCTCTTCGTGAGGTCATCCTACGGACCACTGTTGCCTCATGGAAAGGGGCATTTAGGATTCTGCTGTCAACCCCTCAAAAACTTTTGCTGAGTGAGAACAAGACTTTTGCCACAGGACTAAGGAAGATATTATTTCATTTAATTTTTGAACCTTTTGATCTTTCTGATTAGAATCTTGACTGTTGAGCCTTGAGAATTTTAAGATACATTTATTGCTACTATTTTTATGCTCACTTCTCAAAATGATTGATTTAAGCTTCCTGACAGAGGAGGAACAAGAGGCCATTATGAAGGTTCTGCAGCGGGATGCTGCCCTGAAGAGGACTGAAGAGGAGAGAGTCAGGTAAGAGGGCAAGGACTCCTCAGGCATGAGGAAGGAAGAGGCAGTACATAAGAACATAGGGCATTTTTTGGTTTTGTTTTCAACCATAAGTGGTAGTTCTGACTTGGATCCTAAACTTATGGGTTCCAATTTTAGGTTTACTTCCTGGACAGAACTCTTTCCTCCTCATGTCTCTTAAATTACTCCATTGGATGTCTGCCAGAAATAAGGTCTTGATTAAACACTTAAGCCAGGCGCAGTGGCACATGCCTGAAGTCCCAATTACTTGGGATGCTGGTTTGGGGGATCAATTAAGCCCATGAGTTTGAGACCAACCTGGGCAACACAGGCCAAGATCCACCACCCCCGTCTCAACAGAAAAAAATGAAAATAAACAAAAACCTGCACTCCTTTAACTTCTTAAGCACCGAGTTAAAAATGAAATAGGTACAAACATATATAACTACATCCATATGTGTGTGTTTTTATATCTAATTTTGAAAACTGAAACCATGTTTTTCTAACTGAATCATGAACTAATTTAGAATTTTTTAAACTTTATAAAATTTTTAAAATAAAAAACATTTGAGAAGTAGCTCAAATGTCAGCATACTTTCAGAAATGTTGGTATCAATTTTAATAGCAAAATTAAAAATACTCTCTCTGAGCAAGTCAAATTTTCCTTAGGCTTGAGTCCCATAAAGAGGAGTGGCAACTCTGACACACTACCCTTGTTGGGTGGAACCCGAATGTTCCATGTCAACATTCCTACCACTTTCTCTCACCTTTGTGATACAAAGAGCACTACATCAGCCTGTTGAATAACTGGGCATAGTCCAGACCCCCATTTATTATTTGTGTAATCTTAGGCTTTGAAGGCAGTGAAAGGCCTCTTGAATGTTAATTGTACTAATTTTATGGTCCCTGTCACAGGAGTTAACCAAAAGGGGCATAAGCCATGTTCTTACTTCCTGGAATAAAAGGACCATGAACAATGGATTTATTTGCACTGTTTTCCATATTTTGATATTAATTGAACATGGATATATTATAAAAGAACATGCTGAAATTTCCTTCAAGCACTGCAGACTGTATGATGGTAGCGATAATTCGTGCATAGACATTGTTTAATGAGTTACAAAGGGCTTATGCACACATTGTTGTGTGGGATATAATTATCCCATCTGATGTATGAGGAAGTTGACATTGAGATCGGTCAGATGACTTGCTCAAGCTCACATGAACAGTAAGTGTCAGAGTGAGAGGGAAGTCTTCATCCATTAATGCCTCCTCGTCAGACAGGTCATCCTGGCACCTGGAATCCAGAAGGTGGTGTTGTGGTGTGAGGCAAGACACTGAATGGTAATCAAGAAACTGTGATCATGCGCTTTCCCTCAAGCCACTTGCACTACTCCTGTTCCCAGCAGGTATTGAGCAATGTCTCCCTGGGTCACAGAATTAATGCTAATCCTTCACCACAGCCTCTTGATAGCATTATTGCTTTATTCATTCACAATTTATAAAGCCTTTTCAGGAACATGGTTCTCTTAAGTTGCTCATAGAAACCCCGAGATTTCCATGTCAGGGACTTTTACACCCATTTAGGAATAAAGTACCAGCCAGTCTTTAGCCATCACAAAAATGTTGCAAATCTCTTGGCAGTGTTGATTTTGCAGACTGTCCTTTGGTCTTCTATTTCTGAGGGTGTCCTAGCAGCTGCTGAGGGTGGAGCCCTTATGTTTTGTTTTTGTAAATAAATGATAGGTAAAAGGGTTGGCTGACAAAATCTAGTGTGAGTCAAGCTCCATCTATCACTTTTTTTTATTCTAATATATAATATATGACAGCAGAATGCATTTTAATTCATAGTACACATATAGAGCACAATTTTTCATGTCTCTGGTTGTACAGTAGAGTCACACCATTCGTGTCTTCGTACATGTACTTAGGGTAATGTCCATCTACCACTTTTGTGGAGGACTTTCTTCCTAGGCAGGCACCAAGCACCTCTGCGGACTTGACCATGGGCAGGTCCAAGATTCTAGGGCTGTGAAGGAATGACAGTATGCACTAACGGAGATCAGATGGGTACAAAGTCACAGCCTGGGGACACTGCAAGAACCCAGATCATGACCTGTTCCATACAAGAAGAATCTTACTATGTCCCTTTTTGGTTTAGAATGTAAGGGTCTTGTGGGAATGGTTTTGAAGCTGTTCTGTTTCTAGACCAGAACTGGGTCTCTGAAAATGATACACTATGGGCTCCTTCACCACCCCTAAGCTGTTTGCCTTTGCCTCTTCCATTAGAGTTACAGTTTGACAGCTCTGGAAAGAAGATTTTTTGATTCATATCAATAATTTTATAGACAAGGGGGTAAGCCCAGAGAGGGGAAATGATTTGCCTGGGATCACACTAGTCAGTGCTAAACCTATGATAATAAAAAATTCCTGGTCCATTGCTTTTCCCTCTGCCTTATGCTATTTTTCTTCCAGGAAGAAACATTAAAAATTAAATCATAATACAGGGCAAGAACTCCCTTTCATGAACCTTGGAGTCAAATCCCCTCTCCACCACTAATCAACTCCATTAGGCAAGTTATTTAACCTCTCTGAGCTCAACTCAGAGACTGAGAATGACCATAATGTCAAATTTAAATGATAAAGTCAGGACTAAGTAAAATAATTCTTAATTTTTTTGACATGTGATAGGTTATGGATACATTTCAGTTCTCTTATTTGCCACTCCTCCTGTGCCTCTACAAAAGGACAGAAGATTCTGGTTAATAGTCTGATTTCTTAACGAGAAATGATTCCTAAAATGCTATTATTTATTGCAGTAAGATTTAATTGAGTACCTTTTAAGTGCAAGAAACAACCCTGAACAGTGAGTGATGTGAAGGGAATTCCAGGATGATTGAAAACATGATCTCAGCCTCAAGGAATTTACCATCTAGTGGCCTTTTTTCATTTAATGGATTATCACTTGCAAATTTAAAAATCTAATTTTTTCCTAACATGATTTTGTAATGCCCCAGTTCTCCTAGTCAGTTTGTGTCTTAGAAACACCAATTACATAATTACAGTATTAGCCTAAGCAAACCATCATTAAAAAGGCAAACCTGCCACTAAAATTCGACTGGTCTTTCAAATGCTAACTCTTTTGGGGCCTTAACCATGAGGCCTTCACTGATGGATCACAGCACTATTGCCCACAATCTCAGACACTGCACAACCCTTTTCAGTAGGGCTGTATGTGGTGTTTAGCATTTGCCACTCCCAATACATTCAGTGCTTTGAATTGTTCACATCCAAGCTCACTCAGGACACTTTGGAGATGATTTGTGAGTTAACTCCCACCCTGATTTCATGGATGAGAAAACTGAGTGTCATGCAGGGGAAATGCCTATTTCCTAAACTCCTCAACTTGCTAGTGGTAGAATATGGACTTGGACCCAGGGGAATGTCCTCTGTGACGCCTCTGGGAGTACAGTTGACAGGACAACAGTTCTAGGCCACTGTTGCCACTGCAACTGTCTTTTGTGCTCTCTCCCTTTAGCCATAAGTGCTGGGCCCAAGCTATCGTCATTTCTAATTCTTGGGCAGAGACATTTCACAAGCCTGCCTGCAAGGAAGCAGCCATCAGGATGGATGTTTTTCTCTCCTCCACCCCTGCCCTCTGTCTCTGTCTACCTTGTCCCCGCCTTCTAAGGGAACACTACCATACACACATATGTAATTTTAGTCTTTTATGGTTTGAAAATGACACACTGTAGAGGTGGTGTTTCCTGTGCTTTGCGTCACACTGCCAGCAGGAAATTGCTGCACATGCCTGTCTGAACACCACAGCAGCACCACGTCCCCAACCCCCATATAGGCAAACCACATCTACAGTGAGGGGCGTTTCTGCAGTAGATACCATCTCAACCACCACCACATCTTATGATTCTCAGCTGCCTCCTTCAGACCTTAAGTTCCTTTTAAATGAAGCCAGTTGTCATTGAAGAACTGACTTCCAGGACCTCTGGCAATGTTTTCTGTGAAAGCAAAGAGGAAAGAAACCATCATTTATCCAGGGACTGCATTGCACACAGAGCTTCCCATACACTTTCTCCTTTCATCCTCAGAACAGTGTAGCTGAATCTGTTCAACAGATGAGGAAATAGGGTGAAGAGGATAAGTGCCCTGCAGGATTAGCACTGATCCAATTCCAAAGCCTGTGCACTGAGCTGCGCCTCAGCTGATTGTGGGGATTGATGCTGTGTCCACTCTAAGAGATGCATTTCATGTCATTTTTCACTGTTAGAAACATTTGCAGTTTGCTTTCAGTTATGTTGGTTTCTAGATTCTCCATCAAAGGTTTCTACCACTCTTTCTACCAAGAAAAAGTCAAGTGTGACAGCTGTCTTAGAAACCAAAATCATGTTTGCTTCTCTGAGGCAGGACAGGGTAGTGGAAAGAGTGCTAGCCGAGAGTTAGGTTGGGCTTCTGGTCCCAGCTCTGTGTGACCTTCAGCCAGTCTCCTAACTTCTCTGGGCTTGAATCATTTCATTTAGAAAGTGAGACTACCTGTGACTATATAAGGTTTCTTTCAGATTTCACAGTCTAAATAAACATCTAAGAGTACTTTCAAATTATACTCTTACCAGCTTGCCCAGAATATATTGGGGGATTAAACAACAACAAAAGACTGGTGAATGGACCAGTCATCTTTCTGGTCAGCCTACTGATTCTCACGGGCAACAGTAGACTAGATAACATCAACCAGGTCCCACACATAATGTTAGGCCTTTGCCTAGTCATGTTGAAGAGCTGGAAGCTGGGTGTGTGCCTATGATCACAAGGAGAAAGGGGGGCGTGGTGGGGAAGATGCTGAAGGTAGAGAGGAAGCATTACTGCTCTTCTGGCTTTCCTCTGTAAGTCCTCACACTCTGTGCACCCAAAAGGGTCAACCTTGGCAGTTAGGGTTGTAGATTTAATTTTTATGCACAATTCCAAGAATGTGCCTGGCATCTGAAAGGGAATTAATGAATGGATAAATGAGTGAACAAATAACCAGACAGGGTTTAGATCTGGCCTTTAGGAGGCAAATTGACCAGCTTATGTAATTGACTAAATTCTTTATATATCTTGTTGAAATTATAAGGACTAAGTGCTATGATGCATGTTAACTGCCAATCATGTGGTTCAGTACAAAGCAGATACTTCGTGTTAGCAAAAGGAATAGGGGGATGGGTAGAGAACAATGGGGACATTCATCAGGGCAGTGTCCTCTCTGGGCCAAAGGCTCTTGGGTTTTCATTCTTGCCACCAGCCCACAGGTAATTGCTGAGATCTTCGCTGTGCTCAGCTCTCTACTAAACACTGTTTGTGTAGAGGATGGTAAAGGACAAAAAGTGTCAGTCCCAAGAAACATACCCTTTGCTCATTTCAACTAGATGGTACAACAATTAGAAAATTCAATGCTAATTTGCTTGGGGCAGTTACAGTTCAGGAAAATTAGGCAATCAATGTGGGTTAGAAGAAAAAAATTTAATAGGATCACAGTGGAATTTTTCCGTGTTCATATCTTTATAAAACTTGGTCTTTGGTATCACACACATGGGGTCATCTATAAATATGACAAATGACTAAGAAAAAGAAAAAAAGGGATTATTAAACATAGTGGCCATGATAGTGTTAGGAAATATGCAAGTGGCACTTATTAAATTTTAAAGAATTCTTTTGCCACTTTATAACAAAGGGGTCAGAAACCCTTTATTACCAAAATGGTACCAGTCTTTTTAGGGGCCATTGTTTCTAGTGGTCTGGTTCTTACAGCCTGTGCTTGTTGTGCACAGGCTGGGGTTTACTGGCAGTCATTTAGGTGAGAGCAGATCAAGAGTTGCACAAAGATTCCTACAAAGTACCTTTCAGTCAAACACAAATAAATGAAGAGAACTGAGGGTTGTTATGCTACAAGGTTTTGTGGTCTCCTTTAGCAAGAATGATGATGGGTACCATATTTTGTGGTGGTTTTTTTTTTTCTGTTCTGAGGATGTCCTGTCTTACCAGAAGACCCTACATTGCAATGGGGCATGGCTCACGGAACCTTGGCGGTGATAGGCTCTTCATTATCTCTAGCCTGACTCAGGCAGGGTGGCTGCTAGGTACTTATTTGCTCACTGTTTTTTTTCACTCAACAAACAGCTATTATTGGGTATCAGTTCTGTGCCAGGCTCTGTACTATGCTGGGTTACAAAGGTGATTAAGATGTGATCCTTGTCCTTAAGGAGTTTGCTATGTCCACAGATGAGTGGGTGAAACAGATGTGCAAATAGATTACTGGGACACAGTGTGGTGGGTGCTGTAGGGGTGGGGCCATGGGAGCATGGGACAAGGCAAAGGGTGCCCCAGTGCTGGAGCTGGGTCTAAGGATGAGGAGCAACATTCTGAACAGAGAAGCAGGGGGTGGGGATGTCCTGGGAGCTTTCAGAGTTCTTGGCCTCTTTCCACTCTAAAGCACTTTTCAGGCAAACAGTGTGATGAGTTATCTCAGAATTCCTGCCTGGTAGATCCTATGGTCACTTCTTCACAAGTAAGAAGACTGAAAGTTGATAAAGGCTCCATAGCCTTCCCATGTCCCATCTAGGAAGAATCAGAACTAGAATTTGGACCTAGTTTTGATAACCTTCAAAGCCCATATCTTTCTGCCATATCATCCTCCATTCCTCTAGCATCTACAGAGGTCTCAAAAGAACTGTTTGGAGGACAAAAGCAGTTGAGTGTGTTGGCAAATGTTGTATGGGAGTAAGTGCTGGAAAATGAATCCAAAAAGGTAACTGAAGCCAGGTGGTCTGGGGCCTCACAGGACATTCCTTCAGTGTGCAAGCACAGAATAAATACCCACTCTTTTCTAGACACTTAGCAAAAATGTATTGATTGAATACACGCCCTGGATTCAATTCAGGAGCTCACTCTGGCCAAGGAGAGGCGGGAGGACTTTTCTCCTCTGGAGTTGAACTTGGGCTTGGTCCTGTTGAGAGGAGAAAGAAAAAGCCTCACAAGCAGCCTGACAGGGGTCATCTGCTCTGCTCAAAACCTGAGGCAAGGAGAAACTATCAGAAACCGTAATTAGAAGGATAATGTCTCTCAAGTGACGGTGTGTTGTCACCATTTTGACTTAGAGATACACTGTCATGACAATGTGTGGCCAAGAATTGTGATTGAACATGTTTGGAGTAGGGTCACTTCTTCCTAGGTGATTGGGAGACGAGTGGAAATGCCAGCAGAGAGTGGGTAAATAGATATCTCCAGGCATTCATTTTCCATTATACATCTTGATATCTAGTACTCCTTTGCTCACCAAAGGACATTATTTATTTAAGGGTCTATACAGGTAATATTTTGAGAGCTTATTTAGAATTTTTTTGAGTTAGTTAAATAACACAGGAAGCCCTTTAGAGAGAAGACTCATTGCTAGATCTGGGGTGATTGTCTCCCCACCCCTGTTTTCCCTACTTCCAGCTATGCCTGTGTATACACAAATTACACCAAGCCTTGATGCTACCTTGCTCCATTGCATTCTCTGGCTAAAACAGATTTGCTGCTTTAGGAAGGGTACATATGAGCTTGAACGACAATCATAAAACCCTCTGAGACTTGTGTAGCATGTCATTTTCCAGGAGTTCAGTTTCCTTAAGGCTTTTTGGATACTTTATTCTAAGTATATCTCTGGGGTAAGAAAAGAGATTTTGGATCCTTTTTTTTTATTGAGATAGACTCAGATTTACAATGATTAATTTATTGAAATAGAAGCAGAGGTTAAAAGACTGTTTAACTAGAACAATGTTTTTCTAGTCAGCATGATTTAGAGAAGTTTTAGGATGGTAGCATTTGTTTTTGTTTGTTTTAGGCTTTAGCTTTTCAGTGAACATGAATGATTGGGGAATCCTTAAAAGGAGTATCTGCACAAATGGTATTTGCTTGCCCATTCCTGTTACCATATTTGGTCTACCTGATTCTAGCCCACTAGTTTTGCTTGTTTCCCTAATATTAAGCACAGGGATGACATACCATATTCTTCACAGACTTCTAGGAAAGTCTGATAAACTCACTTCATCAAAATGACAGGACTGATGGGCTGGAAACTATCCCACTAGTTTTTTTTTTTTTTTCTTTTCAGTACTAGAAATTAGACCCAGGGGCCTTCAACCACTGGTCTATATCCCCAGCCCTTTTTATTTTTTATTTTGAGACAGTGTCTTGCTAAGTTATGGAGGCTAGCCTCAAACTTGAGATCCTCTTGCCTCAGACTCCCAAGTTGCTAGGATTACAGGCATGTGCCACCACTCCTGGCGTCACTACCAGTTTTCTTGAGAGTTTCTTACGTGCCAGTCATGTACAGAGGGCTATTTACATGTATTAGCTTAATTCTCAGAGTAACCCCTTTTACAGATAAGGAAATCAATACATAAAGGAAGCTTATATCATCCCTCCCTGGGTTATTTGCGTTTGAAGAGTGGACACAAAGGACTGCAACCAAGACATGAATCTACTCTTGAGAAATATCATACATCATCTGAGGATCATGGTGAAGCCTTTAGGTTTAAAAAATGTTGGCCTTGAAATTTCTGACTTTCCAGTTAAAGGGAATATTTGCTAGTAATCTGGGAGATTTATGGCATAAAATGTTGCGAGCTTCATTTTTCCTGTATGTTTACAAATTTCTTTATGCAGTGTCACAGTGAACTCATTTATTTACTGTGGGTTCTTAGTGAAGTAAATCTCTTTTCCTTTTGTAGGCATTTGCCTGAAAAAATTAAGGATGACCAGCAGCTGAAGAATATGAGTGGCCAATGGTTTTATGAAGCCAAGGCAAAAAGGCACAGAGATAAAATCCATGGTGCCGATATTATCAGAGCATCCATGAGAAAGAAGAGGCTCCAAGTGGCAAGTGAGTTGAATTGGCTGATGTGCTTATAGCTAGCATTTTTTTCGGGAAGGGAGAGGGGGATGGTGGCGGAATCATTGCTGAAATCTGCCTTGGGAAAACATTTGGAATTATGCTTCCCATAGTGTGTGGCCCTCAACATCCTCTTCCCTGGATTCAGATGGACTAGGGTAGAGCCAAGTAACTCAGTGTTGTGTAGAGGAACACAGGAAGCCCTTTAGGCACCATGTTGAATTGTAGTAGCGTAGATACTCGGGGTATATAAGAGATCTACCACCTCTTCATTGACTTATACTTCTGAAAATTCAGAGCCTTCTGAGTAAGGTAAAAAGGTTTAGACAGGAAGAAATCAGCCTCCTTATTCAATGATCTTGATATTGAGCATTCCTTTGCTCACCAAAGTACATTATTTATTTAAGGATCTATAAATGTAATATTTTGAGAGCTTATTTAGAATTATTTTGAGTTCGTTAAATAATTACTGTAACTCTGGGTTAGTCAGCATAAACCCCTGTCCAAGACTCACCTGTATGCAAGAAGGAAAATAGCTATTACCTCTGAGTGTCTAATATTATTTCTAACATAGCAGCAGTCTTCTTAGGCATTATTTCCCCAATACTGTGGATGGGGCTCAGAGAAGTTAAATCCCTTTACCCAAGATCATGTTGTTGCCAAATGGCAGAGCTGGGATTTCAGATCCCACAGCTAAACATCATGTTGGATATATTGTAGATGTTCAGTAAATTTACAGTAAGGATGGTACTTCAATCCAATAAGTACCTCATGCCTGGCTATGTACATTCAATCCTGACTGATTAAGATCAGATTAACCTAGAGGCAGTTAGAATTTTGCTCTAACAGCTCCTGGAGTTACCTGCACATTTAAATGTACTCCCATGTTCTTAGGAGACTGTGCTTGGGCAGAGGAGCTGATGTTAAGGGAACCTACTGACTTCTTTCAAAGATGTATTTCTGATCCTAAGACTCAGTGATTGGCTTGGCACTCAGAAGGCCTGAGATTCAGATTTAAGTCCTTAATGATAGGAGCCTATAAGAGAATTGTAGATTGTAGAGGTGAGAGATAAACCTTCCTGCCTTCATTGTTTCCTATTTCAGCGGAGCAGAGTAAGGACAGAGCAACTGAGGCAAAGGAAAGCTGGGTGAATAATGTCAACAAAGATGCTTTCCCTCCCCCAGAGCTAGCTGGTGCTGTAGAAGAGCCAAAAGAAGATGGAGCACCACCAAGCCCAAGGTGAGGCAGAGCTTATTAGGAGAGCTGCTGCTTGAAGGGGGTTTCATGGCTTGGTATGTTGTATGGGCAAAATGTGGGCTATGAATATAAATGCTGGGCTGGTGTCATGGACATGTGGAAGTGGGTAGTGTTGAGAGAATTCTGGATCCTCTTGGAAACAAAGCCTAAATTGCTGAATCTTAAAATTAAAATGCTAAATGGTGATTTCTTTCAGCACCAGCAATAGCTGTTTTTCATTTATACTAAAATTTCTCTTCAGAATAGGACAAAATGTTCCAAAATGAATACAGGGGAATAAGTCATTTCCCTCAGAGAGCAAGAAATAACGAGAGTCTAACCTATGGTAGAATGGAACAAGCTCAAGCACAAGAACCAGACGGACATGAATTCAGAACTTAAGCCTACCATTTATAAATGATGTGACAATGGGATGTCATGGTCAATAACCTCTGAGTCCGCTGCCTTTTGGGTATATAAATAGGAATATAAATAGGAATAATATATACCCAAAAGGCAATGGTGAAAACTAGTGTGTAGAATACCTCAATTTTTCAGTTGTGATTTTTTTTGTTTTGTTTTCCATACATGTTTTCATCTGGTCAATTAAAATGTTCATCTGACATCCTTCCTAAGAGGTAGCCATTTGTGAGACTAAGTTGCCACAGACTTTTGAGCCATGGTGATTTGCTTTTAGGTGTTTCAGAATTTTCCCATTAATGTCTGTCCCTTTAGAGTACAGTGGATACCCTTTGGTGGAAGGGGCAGTTGCATATCATCTTTAGATCTTCAGTCAAGACGATTCAATTCAGAGCCTACAGTTGGGATGGAGTTGATTAATTTGCTGGTGGGACAGTCTCTGAGCTAGAGTGCAAGACTAAAGGGCCTGGGGTCAGAGATATTCCCAAATAGATAATAGGTGAGGGGAAGGGTGTGCAGTATAGGTACCTCTACGCATTTCAGAGTCAAAGATGAGGAAAGTTGGATAATGGACACTGACTCTATTAAAGTACCTATTATTAACCCATTTTCCAATGGTTTCCCATGAATGGTGGGCTCCCCTGTATCTCCCCAGGATGATTTGTAATGTTCTCTTTTATGTGAGTTTGGCTAGAAGGTAAAACATCTCAGTAGTAATTACTAATTGATACTATGACCTTGCAGTAGTACTGATTCAAATTCCTGGACTTTTATTTCTACAGCTGTAAAATGGAATAATAATAGCATGCTAATATGATTATTGGCAAGTTAATTAGCTAGCGAATATAGAATCTTAATGCAGTCTATAGCACATAGTGAATACTCAATAAATGGAAGCATGGGCTATCAAATATAAACAGATATTTCAGGAAACACAAGAAAGGGTGTGAGGAGCATTCTATTCTTGCCCCCTTCGTGTCTCACCATCTATCAAGTGCTTGCAATCCCTCTAACGGATGAAGGCCTTACTTTCATAAAGAAAGATGAGACCTGAAGTATTAGAAACCTGGGGAGAAAGAACACAGTCATTTAGATTCCCCACCAAGGAGCTGAGTGTGACTCTTAAGAGCCAGGTATAACAGGGGCAGAGGAGCACCTCAGCATCGACTAGCTGAGGGAAGAAGGATCAAGTACCACTGAAGAGGAAAGAAGATTTGGGGACATCAGGGATTCACTTAACTCACTGCACAGTTTTGTCAGTCTTCCAATTCTCCTTACAAGAACTCTTCCATATCAAAGGGCTTGAGGGACAGAGGAGCCCACCTCATTTTTCTCTTGACTCCATGGGACTGGTGGACAGTCCCTCAGTCTTTCTTGCTTTGAGGATAATAACTTCCATGATTTGCATCTGCATTATTTTCTGCATTCCTTGTGTGACTGCTTACAAATCTTTGGGGTTTTATTTGTAAATCAGAACAGAGTTACCTGCCTGACCAGGATATTGTGAGATTCAATGAAATAAAGTGTGGGAATCACTTAGGATTTCCCAGGAAGAAGGAAGGTTGACAATTTCCAGGTGGCATTATAATGATGTTATTACACGGATAAGGTCAAGAAGGCAAGTATAAAAGTGTTAGATGTATCCAGCATGTTTTGCTCATTAAAGAGCAACCCTATAAGATGTGGCATGGTGCTAATCACTTAGAATTGTAGGAGGAGCTACTTTTTACTTCCTCCTTTCCAGGTCAGAAATGACTGCTTTACTTGGTATTAAATTCCTGCGGTGTTTCTTATACTTTAACCTTTGTGAATTGGGTGTGGTAAGTGTATTTGTACTTTCAGACTAAGTGAGTTTCAATGGAATGACTCAATACCTGTTAATATTTTCTTAGCCAGGAGTTAGGAAGTGTGAGGCCACAGTGGCTGAATATTGCCAGCTCTGAAGGAGTTTTTCCAATAGGCTTGGTGCCATGGTCCTTCCTTCTTTCGTGGACACAATTCTGTGGGGCCCTCTCCATGAAGAGTTATAACATTATGGGTACCCAGCATGTAGTCAAGCCTCAGCAGCTACCACATTCTTTCTGAACTCCCTTTTGTTTGCACCTGTAGCACTAGGAAGCAGAGGTTTATGAGCAGAGGATAAGGTTCCCTTTAGAGCAGCAAACACTCACAGTTCAAATCCTGATTATTGACTTTCAGCAAGGCAGTATCAGTTGGATCAGCACTTCATAAACTAGTGAAGGACCTGTTTAAAAATTTTTATTTCTAATCATTATAGATTGTCACCTTTCATAAATTATAAAACTGAAATGCAGAAAGCAATGAACCACTGATCATGTGGTGGAATATCTCAGAAAATAGCTATAAATGATTCCCAACATACACTCTCCATTTCTGTACTTTTTCATTGTGAATCAGTGATAAGTTCATGGATTGACACTGGTCCATGAACCACATATTTATAGTACCTTGTGTCACCCTTCCCAAATAATTGTTGAACATGTGCACAATAAGCCACAGGACTTGGCTGAGTCAAGGTGGGGAGTACAGAATAAAGATTTAAGCAGCTCTTCCCACATGAGTCAGGACCCTGCTTGTATAATGTGTCCTGACTCTAGAGGCAGGTCTGTTCTGGGACAAGAAGCCCCTTCTTTGTCACTTGAGGTTACAAGTTCTGTGAAACAAGTTTGGGTGCTCTGTGTATAGAGAGTCTAGTAGCCTCTACTGACCAGGGCCTTAGATCTCTATAACTGGTACTTCCTTAGACTGATGACCCTGGAGATATACTGACCACCTCCCCTCTCCTTCCCTCTCCTCACCTCCCTTCCCCTCTCCTCCTCTCTCCTCACCTCACCTCCCTTTAAGACTATCTCTTTAAGGACTGGCCCCTTGGCTAGTTTATATTGTCTTGGCTCTGCAGCTACAAACAGGCCAGCTCAGACCTCTGAAAAAATGATAGTTACCCAAGTATGCTCCAAGCTTTCCAGTTCTTTCCTCCTTCTGGCTTCTCCTCTTCTACCCTTCTCTATCCCACACCCCTTAGTTGCTTGATGGTGGTTTCCTTTCTCCTTGAAGGGATCTAACATGAATTCTACCCTAAACAATATTTGCCTTTTAAAAATAACTTGAGCCTGTATAGCTGGAAATTTTAAACTTCTTTCCTTTTTTTAGTGGTCACCTTACTGAAACATGAGTATAGACTTGTTTATGCTGTCCTAACATGCAGCTCAAGTCCTATCATCTGGCATTTAGCATAGATGAGGACATTACAGCAAGGCGGAGATTGGATATCTGCCAGGTGCTTGGCTCCCATATTATGCAGACTTTTCTATTAGAAAAATTATTGTTTCTAATGGTTTCCAAAAAATTTAAGAATTATCTTAAGCATCCTGATAAAGAACAGAATCTTCAACCAAAAGAGGCAAGTTCATAGGTGGAAAAAGAGTTTATATTAAGAGTATTGGGCATCTCAGTGCCCTGACAGTGCACTAAGAAAGCAGCCCTAGTAACAGATATCATCAGTCAGAGATTAGTGACTGTTTTTTGTGGTAGCAAAAGTATCTAGAGAGCTGGGTACGGTGGCACATACCTGTAATCCCAGTGGCTTGGAGGCTGAGGCTGGAGGATTGCAAGTTCAAGTCAGCCTCAGCAACTTAGTGAGGCCCTAAGGAACTTACAAAATGCTGTCTCTAAGTAAAATTTAAAAGGTGGAGTGGTGGCTGAGGATGCAGCTTAGTGGTTAAACATTCCTAATTTCACTTCCTGATATATATATATTAGCCAGGGATATACAGTTGGCCAACCTGAGCCACTGAAAAAAGAGGCCAGAAAAAGTATGAGAGATGTGGAGAAAAGTAGGAAAAAGAAAGATAATATGTATGAATGGTGAAAATAGAAGCGTTAATCCATATGTTGCTTAATTTTGCTTTTAGGATATTTATTGGAAATAAAGTATTTAAATACTCTTATGGGCAACTGATTGAAAGCACTGATTTGTACCTTGCTTGCATTCAATGGAATAAATCATTCTTTGGGTTACTAGTTCATTTTTAATACAGTCATTTATTTGGTTAGTCAACATTATTGAGTATTTAATTGTATACATCATGGTAATGAAGAGTTCAAAGGTGACTAAGGTCTGGTCCCTGTCTTCGAGGAGTCCATTGTTTGGAGGAGAGGCTGACACACATAATTATAAATTGTGATTGGTGTGACAACAGTATTTAAAAAGCCATGAAAGAGCTGGGTGCGGTGGGATACACCTGTAATCCCAGCAGCTCCAGAGGCTGAGACAGGAGGATTTCGAGTTACAGCCAACCTCAGCAACAGCGAGGTGCTAAGCAATGCAGTGAGACCCTGTCTCTAAATAAAATACAAAACAGGGCTGGGGATGTGGCTCAGTGGTCAAGTGCCTTGAGTTCAATCCCTGGTACCAAAAATAAAGGCCATAAAAGAACAAATAGCAGTGCTGTGTCCAGTGTAGGGGAGGGATTGTCTGGGAACTTCTGGAGGTGGTTGTATTTGAGGTGATTCTTGAATGATGAAAAAGGCTATGGTAGACACAGGGAGAGGATGGTACCGGC